TCGTTTTAAAACCAGGACTAACTTTGATTGACAGGTTACACGGATGCCATAAGAGGGTGTTTTCTCAATTTTTGTGGAATTTTGTATTTTAGATACTTTTCATATCGGCACAAACTTGACAATCTGAGATTCTTACACATAAAATAAATCTGATACTAGTTCATGAAAAAAGTGTATGAAATATATATTAATTTGATAGATAGGCAAGTTTGTGCTCTAAATTTTCTGAGAGAAAATGTGCTGTAAAATTGATTAAAATTTGCATAAAAATGAGGAAATTTGGATATTGACATATTTTCTGACCTTCCTGTGACCTTTGTATATCCCGTAACTGAGAATTCATTTATTGCCGGGTTGATTCATACGATATTGCATCGTCCTAAAAGACTCTCCAAAGCAGAGAGCGAAGGGTTCTTATCCTTTCTTGTCCTTAGCGACTCCTCATTGTTTAAAAGCTTTGGTTGATATTGATCTATTATTTACGAAAGCCCAGAAGGCTCATTCGAGATTCGAGATTCGAAATACGAGATTCGAGATTCGAAATACGAGATTCGAAATTCGAGTTTCGAGATTCAAGATCCAAAATAACCAATCAAAAGGCGGTTTGAGTATCAATTACTCCCCTTTATTATTTTTTACTATCAAGATATCGTTGAGTATTTTAATACCGAGGAGGTCATTTGATTAAATTACAACGCAAGAAAAAGTGTTATTTATTATCAAAACGAAATTTAAAGAAATATTAGATTTTGGTCTGCAAGATATGCTTAATTAATTTATAATAGCTTCTTAAATGTCTTATGAGATTTATATAAAGAATATATATATTTCGTGTTACATGTATCTACTTTGGATACAGGGATGTTGACATAATAGTATAATTAAAATAGATTAACAGTACATACATCCCCCCTTTTTCCCAAACATATTTTTTTACTATTGAAAATGTTCATCCAAAGGTCGGTTGCCAAGCCCTCCCCCCCCCCACACACACACACGTTTTGGCACAGTGGTGCAGTATAGTCAAAGAAGTTTAAGTAGTAGTGTATTAAAAGAAATTAGGTACTAAATGAAGTTCGATCCCCCCGCCCCCTTTCACGCCCCGAAATAGGATTTTCGGGTTTGGGCAAATTTTTTTCTGTCAGTTTTTAGGTTTGAAATAATACTTTTGTCTGCCCCCCTCCCCCCTCCCACCATTTTCAAAATCGATGCTTCGTCTCTGTAATAATTAGTACTACGGGTTTCAAGGTGGATAGTGTTTGTGACACGGTATTAGAAAGTGGCCAGTGACCAAGTTTATGAAACCAATAGACAGCCCCTTGAATACGGATGGCTGAAACATGCATGCTTAATAAAGATAATGAACCATTGGGAATAATAAATTTTTAAAAAATCATTGTTAATCTTCCTATCCCTACCCTAACCTCGAAAAATAGGGGTAATAAAGTAATTGGAAGCTATTTTTGAATGGAAATAAGCATAAAGTTACTGTTTTCTATAGTATATTATATCGGAAAAATATTACGGGAATGGCCAAGTGGGAGGGGGGGGGGGGCAAATGTGTGGTTATCAACATTCATTGTCAATCTTGCGATGCATAGATACAATAAATATATATTCGATAATTATTTAAAAGGAAACCGCTCGGGTTTCGTCCAACTTGATCAAAGACTCAAATATACTAGTAAAACCATAATGCTCATTTCATGGGGGGGGGGGGGGGGGGGAAGCCATACATTTTCAGTTTTCAACTACCAAAAATTTCTTGACAACCAAAAACAAAGCAAAGAAAAAGTTATCAGATGTTTTATTGAGGGGGCACACGCATATAGTAGTTATGATTTCTATAGTATTTTATATATCGGCAAAATTATAAAATTATTGGGGGACACAATGTAAAGAAATGTACCCTCATTAGTATTTCATATGAATAATAATTTTCTCCTTCATCAATGTTCTTATTTTTAAAAAAAATGTCGACGTAAGAATTCCGCAATTTAACGATAAGACCATATACTATTCTATATACGTATCTATTGTTTTGTTTAATGAGGAAAAATAAAAATTTATATATATTTTCTAAAATGTTACCTAAAATTCCTTTTATTTCGTTTTAATACATATATATTTTTTCTTGCATTATCATTTAAGCAAATGACCCATTTGATATGAATATATTCAACGATTTCTTGATAGTAAAGCATAATAAAGGGGAGTAATCAAAATTTAACCTGCCCTTTGATTGGTTAATTTGGATCTTGAATCTCGAAACTCGAATTTCGAATCTCGAATTTCGAATCTCGTATTTCGAATCTTTAATGAGCCTTCTGGGCTTTCGTAATTATTCTACTGTTTATACTAAAATATATATATTTAGTAATGTTCGAAATGTTTAAAGTTCTATTGATAATTGGGATTGGATTTGAAACAAATAAAAGAGGAAATTCTCCTAATAATGTTATATACATATTGATGCAGGCTGGAGTCCCAATATTTACATGTTTGGAATTATTGCCATTTTGATAGAAAAGAAACAACGCTCATTAAACTTAAAAACTCTCTACAGCATCTTTTAAATACTGAATATTTATCGTGAATTTCATTGATAACTCTAGCTCAGAAGTATAGCCATAGTAACTCACTAATATAACTAGCGGATATTCAGGGTTTTAAAAAAGTTAAATTTATTTCACGGTTTAAATGCATTTTATTTATAAATTCGCCAATAATAGTCTCACAAATCAATTGATTGATATAAAGATTGTTTCTTTTTGTATACGGACGGGCGTGTAGTCTTTAAAAGTCGAAATAGACTTTAAAATTTATTGGTAAGAAATGGTAATAGACTGAAATTGCTTTGTATAAATGTATTTTTTGGCATTTTTAAGAATTAGTAAGCTACAGTTGGAGAACTTTTTTTTTCAAATATTCCGCAAAAAAGTAAAAAACAGGAGAAATTACCTGTTTGTTCCAAAGTAATGTGATTTATGAAAACGATTTTGTAAATTAATTATGATTTGTCATGCACTTACGAATATTGCATCCCGAACCAGTGTACCTGCCTGCTGGACATATACATGTATTTGGACTAACACAACTGCCTCCATTCTGACAACCTTGATTACATGTAGCTGTAAACATTTAAGACCATTATATGCAATTATGTTTGCGACATTACCAAGAATGATTAAATGTAGACTTAATCGATTTATATTAAGTTCTTCGTACATCATTAATTTCACATTTTGACCTCTCATGTTTAAAGGAAATGTAGAAATTTGCCTTAGAACATATAATAGCTATAAAATGTAAATATATCTTAACACATAAAATAAAAAAATAAAAGAAGTTTTACGTGTCTCGCAACGACTACCAGTGTACCCAGTATAACAAGAACAAACACCTGGACTACTACAAAACCCATTCTGACAGCGAGGATTACAGACAGCTGTAAACAAAAGTCCGAAATACTCACAGCAAGCTATGAATAAAAGCTATGATATTAACAGAGAATTGATTTTAAAATTCCAGTATTAGAGAGAGTCGCGATCGTAATAAATAAAGTTTTATGTCTTGTCAAAATGTAGCTTGTATTTCTCAGTACATTGTAGAGTTTCTTCTTACGTATTTGACAGGAACTTCCAGTATATCCATACCAACTCCAACAGCTACAGATTTCAGGGGCAACACAACTACCTCGCCCATTGCAGGAATTGCTGCATATAGCTGTTCAAAAATATACTGTAAAATTACGATTTTTTGGATAAGGGTAAACAATTGGGTTAAAGTGAATTTGATTTCAACGATTGTCAATTGAAGAGTTGATTATTGTATACATACAATGGACATTTAAACGAGCAAAGGGGTTTCGAAAAAAGAAAATGAAAGGGGATAAAAAAAGTCTTATTTTTAAGCATTTTATACTTTTTAAAAAAAATTACCAGTGCTAAGTTTTAAGTATCTTCAAGTTATTAATCTTGTTGAAAAGACCTTATTGGGATATTTATTTAAATTGGCAATACGGCTGCCAATCGTGTGCTCTTTCATTCAAAGAAGGACTGCACTTAAGCTATGAGAGTTGGATCCCGATGTTTTGCGCAAAATAAAATTTCAAAATTCATTAAATTTATGTTTTATAGGTATTAAACAATATCTTAAGAGCAGGTTTTGGTATATTATATTACATGAAAGTATTAAATAATGCCGAGCGACACTAGCATTTGAAACGGGGGTCTAACAGTTTTGTCTCATTTCTATTGTTATTCATATGCATACCAGTTTTCAACGACATTGTTTACATCGAGCCTCAACTTGGCCATTTTTCTCATTTGCACCTGTCAGAATGTGTATTTTGACTAAAACTTATACATATCCATAGGACAATGTTGGCCAAGTTGCGGCTCATATCTTATTTTTTAGAAAATGTACGCAAACTTCGCTCGCTCCTAAATTAGCAGGTTACGAGTGTCAGCCCATGTGAACCCTTTGATATTATAATCACTTTTTTCACGTTACATTCAAGTGTTCGATACGCTTTCTGCCTTTCATTGTGTCAGTCGTTGGAAAATTCTTTTTATATCTACATGTACTTCCATTTTCGAAACATTGAAGATCATTGCGTACAATTTTTGGCGTTTTAAAGTTTACGTTGACTTCTTTCACTACAGTGTTTTTGTTCGGGGTATTTAAAAGGAAAGGGGTATTATTTTGCCGATTACATGCTGTACATATGGCAGTGGCGGATCCAGAAATTTTGAAAACGGGAGCCCGACCAGTTTTAGGCCAGGATAGGAGCCCACAGTCACACACACACAAAAAACTAAACTTTTAATTCTATTTTTCCATAACTAATCAAATTAGTCCACAATTATTATTCAAGATGATTAAGATAAAGTGAAAATTTCCTTTTTTTAAATACACAATAGGTTCGAACACATATAATTATTTTAAGATTTAGTTAATTCGCTGCTTGACAGCAAAGACAGCAAATAATACATGAGCAGTGAGATTTTAAGAATTCCAATTTTAAAAGAACGTTAGATAGAGAAAATTATGCTATGCTTGATAATGTAGAAGCCGAAATTCATTTTCTTTAAAGATATGTATGCCGTGTTAAACAGTATTTTTGCACAGCTGAAACCGAACAAAAATTTCTGAAGTATGATAAGCTATCAAAAATGAAGCATTTTTGCAAATTCGACGAAATTTTATTCGGTATTAACAAAGTACTGGTGGGGAAAAGAACACGATATTCTCATGCATATTTATAAAGGACTGACGTTTATCCTGGATCTGCGCATGTGCGCGGGAAAAGCATCGCGAGAATCGTCATTTCGAGGAAAATATTTTTTTGTGACGTCTGTTCAGTGAGGAACACAAATAGACCAATCAGCTCAATGAGTTGCATTTAATGCATTTATGGGTTACTACATGAAATACTACATGTGTTTTTCGAAAAGCCTAATTTTTTTAATCGCTCTCGGAAAGACATGCATTATGTACATTATTATTTAATAATCCCATGCTCATATTTGCATACAAATGATTAACAATGATGAATATTAAAGTTTTCCCCACTCCATTGTACAGCTAGGCCCGTTTGTTTAGAGTTTCCCCGGCGCGTGCTATATTGCTAGTGGACATTTTCGGTTGGGTGAACATTTACAAAATAGCGACTACGGATCTTCAGTATGGAGCGCATTATGCGCAAAAAATATTTTATGTCAAGTACAATGTATATAAAGTAATTTAAACTGCTATTTTTACACCCTGAATAGGTTTTTTTTATATGAACTACATAACATATGTAGATGAAACTTACATACCATACATCTTGCCATTTTAGAAATATAGTTGGGCTAATAAAATAAAATTGGTCTAGGAATTCCAGGCCCCTAAAAAATATTCCAGTTTGAGGGCACAACCAAGCATTTCGATGAACACCATTAAGAAAAATTAATTCAGGTAGGTAGCAGCGTTTTTTTTTAAGTGGGTGGGTAATAGAACAGTTAGAATAAAAATCGACTAGCTCGAAGAAACCTGACAATTAAAATAGATTCCAATATCTTTCACTACTAAATTTTATTCATTCACTACAACATTACCCTATTTAATTTTACTGCCAAACTCCAAATTTCACTTTCGAATAAGCCCGAGCCAATGCTGTTAACCTACTTGCAAGATTTTTTATATTATTTTCAAGGGGTCTGAAATACTGTGGTTCATATGTAAAGAATATATTTATATTATTTAGTAGTATTCTGGTTTTGGCATTCGGTATTTTGTGCAGATTTATACATGATATTCTGTGGAATACTTTTTTTGATTTGAACCATCAAGAAATGCAGAATCGAATGTATCTAATAACCATTTTGATTCATCAAATTATATCATTTGTTTGTATTAGTTATTTCATTTTGGCACAACATGGTTTCCACACTTCTTTATCCATAGTCGCTGACAGCTGTAGAAGTTCACCCAACCAAAAATGTCCATTGAAAAGACAATTGCACGTGATTATTCCTCGGTACAAAAAGCAACTAACACTGAGGTGTGCTCTCGTATTGACAATCCCTAACTCACGTGTTTGTAGTAAAAACGTAGTAGACCATCATGCTTTTCGGTTCATTCACGAGATAGGACCATTGTTTGCTGTGAACATGCGAGACCACGTGATCATGAATATTTCAATAAGAGGCGGTTTTTTATCCGACACGCAGAGAAAATAATTTTTACCAAATAATATTTCATAACTTTTAAAAGTGATGGAGTGGAATTGTCTTATTTGCAGAAAGTATATAACTTATATAACTTGATGAGACTCCACATATATTTATTTCTTTTAAAATAAAACACTAATACGGCATATATATCTTTAATGCATTGTCCTTTGTACTCTGAATACCGGTCAAAACTCTTTTGAAAATTAACTCTGCCAACAATCAAATGGCATGTCATATATGGATTTACTGTGTGTACTTATTTCAGATTATCCTAAAGACAGGTTGCAAATTATTTTTCATTTAGGCTAAGACAGTCCATTATGTTCAGAAAATAAAAATGTATTTTATTTTCAGTGTCATTTTCATGTACAAATAATTCTTAAAACAGACACTACCAACCTAAGCGTACAAAATGAAAACATATATTTATCACAATTTTGTTTATTTTTATGAACTTTTTGTTTTTCTCTTAATGTTCTGCTCTTTACTTACTTACGTGGATACATATTAATGAAATTATATGTATGGTTGTAAATCATTTATTTTTTGTACACAATGAACACAAAACCCCCCTTTCCGCCTTTTTCATATATAATATAAACCAAATACGGAAAACCATGTGCTTATGATCCATTTCCATGCGTTTAAATGTCTCCGCCCCTTTGTTGCGACCTTAAAATCGAAAGCGGTCCAGTTCAATTTTCCGGAATTTAGGGCTTAAACATGTTCTTTTCAATAGCATTATATGTAATTATAGAAATATGCATGACGAAAATTTCTAGAAATAAATATTAAAAGCATATGCTTGCACATTAATCATAGATTAATTTAGCGATATATTGTAATGTTAAGCTTAAAATTGGTAGCCGAAAAGGTTCCAAATAACGTCCTTAAGTGCAGTCATTCTTTACCCAATATATCTTTCAGGAAAAAGGTAAAAAATTGAAGTAAGCATTTTGAGAAAAATAATATTCTCTCCTTATACAAAACAAACGTAATAAGAATCTGTCGGAAAATCAAGGGTCGTACAATTTGGATCCGTGTACTTGTACCACGTGAATTCTAAAATGGCACGTACATACAATGTAGGGTTTACAATTATAATGGAATACAAGTTTGGCTTTCCAGAAAGCCTGAAATGTCATCTCTTTGGTATCAATAATGTCAAAGAAATAAAACAGAAAGGGAAATATTTTAATGCAATGAATATATGGATTATTACACCTGAAGTTCCCAAATGACTCATTCAGCAAACTCCACAGTAAAGTATGCAGTTTCTTTTGGCCGCAGTATATATATGGAAAGCATGGACGTCTGCAAGAGCACCCAAGGCGATGTTTGGTGAAATTTCATTCTGGCGGTCTTTGTGCTTAGAACTGGGTGTTTACAATTTACTTAAATTCAAATACTTTCCTTGAACTATATTTTCTTAAAGCGGCAATACGGCTGCAAATCGTGTGCTTTTTCATTCAAATTTACCCAATATATCATTCAGGAATAAGGTAAAAAGTTGAAGTAAGCATTAGAGAAAAATAAATATTCTCTCCTCATGTAAAATTAACGTAATTAAAATCTGCCGGAAAATCAGGGGTCGTACAACTTAGTTCTGTTTATTTGTACCACATGAATTCTAAAATGGCACGTGCATACATTGATACAATGTAAGGTTTACAATTATAATGGAATATTTTAAGTAAAAGCAATTCTGAGAATCAAAATATCTTAACTTTCCGGTAAATTAATAATAGTTAACATATTAGTCTGCATTCAGACAAATTTAATATGATTTAAGTACAAATGTTGACGTTTTGTGTATTGGGGTGCAGGAAAGGAAAATCCACCAAATCATACGTCATCGCGGCAAAATGTCAAACAAAATATCTTTCTGCAGTTCCAATACAATTTGCACTTCAAATGGCAATAATTTTTATATTTCAAAAGTGCATTTTTACGTTTAGTTTACACTGATTTTTTTTTTCTTTGAAAGCCATGGAGATACGAGGA